GGGTCGATTCGGTTTCGGGTTTACTAAATACGGTTCGGGTCGGTTTTCGGTTTAAAAAAAATCGGGTTTTAATCGGTTCGGTTCTCATTTGGGTCGGTCGGTTTCGGGCAGTTAAACGGTTTTGGTTTGAAATTTGACAGCACTACTCATTGTTAATAAATACTCCCTCCGTTTTTAAATACTTGATTCATTTCTCTTGGACACGCATGCCGATACTAATCTTTGATCACTAATATCTTTAATTATCCATAAGTATAAATTCTAACAACTGAAAATTAATAATCTATTCATTAAGATGATTCCAATAAGTACCCACAAGACTATATTTTTGAAAATTAATAATCTATTCATTAAGATGATTCCAACAAGTACCCACAAAACTATATTTTTTCTTATGCGTAAATCACAAACATTAGTCAAAGTAGGACAAATGAATAGTGCAAAAAATAGAAATGAAGCAAGTATTTAAAAACGGAGGGAGTAATTGTGTAACATCAATTTTTGTATACATACTTTGTATTATGCGTGCCACACGCCCACACATATATGAAGTATATTAAACAAGAATGTCACACAATTACATTTGTATCCTTATTGATATTACCCTATCACCAGTAAATAACTATTCATTTAATTTGGTGGACTAGTGCTTATTTATGATTTTGATATTTAATACTTCGTATCAATTTTCATTATATACTTCGTAGCATATTTCATCTACGATACCACAGCTGCATATATGCATGCATGATAGATGATATATATATTTATACCATTTCAACGAAGAAAACATTACGAAAGAGCGAGTCAGCTATTAATTGGTGATCCATTATCACTAATTATTCCTTTTCAAACATAACTACTCCGTATAACTTTATGTATATATGGACCATCTCAGCTTTTTACAAGTATTTATTTACAAATTCTACGTAAGAGTGCATGATTTATGCTACAAGTAGTCACGTATTAGCTGTTTTTGTAATATTTTCTACGCTTTCCGTTTCAGTTTGTTAGTCCCATATGTTATTTTGGGTGTTTAAAAAAAAAAATCTGTCCATATTGAATGTATTCCACTTTTAATTTAGTTTTTACTAGAGTGTTACCGTGCAGAATGCACGGGATATATAAGAAAAAATATATTTAAAATATGAAAAGTTGATTTTGATGTTGTAATTTAGACTTGAGTTTATAATGGTCGATTTTGGATTGGTCGGTTCTATTGAACCCTAATTAGCTATGTTGTATTGAGTATTAATAATCTTATTAATAATGTACTGACACTTGTTATGCTATGCTGAAATATGATATTCTATGCTTTGCTATTATGGGGTTTACTTTTTCAAAGGAGGTTACCCGTTTAGTGTTATAGGGGCTACTCGTGTTACTCGGTTAGTGTCATATGAGTTACTGTCTTGCTCTAGAACATTGTTCTGTTGCAACTTGCAAGTAGTTATTTGCTGAGGCCAGTTGCACAAAAATGTGTTGTACTTTTTTTTTTTGATGATTAAAGATGTGGAAAATGTTTGGAGGGGTAGTCCCTAAAAAAATGCATAATTGAAGGGTTGGGGATTGTTATTTAGAGTATTATAGTGAATTGTTGATAAAGGAAATGTATACTCGTGCTAATGCATGACATATATTATACTATGTACCAAAAAAAATACTCATAAAACATAGTGAAATGTTAGTACGTAGTGTTTAAGAAAAATGAAATGTTGGGGATTTTGAGTGTTATAGTGAATTGTTGATAAAAGAATTGTATACTTGTGCTAATGCATGTCATATGTTATACTACGTACCAAAAAAAAATAAACAAAGTGAAATGTTATTAGTAGTCCCTTGAAAAAAAAACAAAAAGGAAATAGTGAATGGGTACTTATTGATTTAAAAAAATAAAAAATAAATAAAAAAAAAAGAGTGAGATTGGTAGTTATTTTTATCTTTAAAAAAAAAACAAAAACAAAAAAAAACTAAATGCATGAGAGTTGAGGGATGAGGTTTTAGAGGCTACTCATTCACTGACTCTGCAATTATATTATAGATTTCCTACGAAGTATTTTATACATATTAAATTCTGATTGGTTTGTTCTCTTAGGTTGAAATTCAGTTCATTTCAGTTCAACTCTTAATTTCCTTCTCTTATAAAATATTCAGTTCAGTTCAGTTCAGCTCAGTTCAGTTCAGTTCAGCCAATGAGAACAGACCCTAAGACATACTTATTTTGCATAATTTTATTATTACCATAATTAATTAATAATAAGTGAGAAGTGACGACATTACTGGAATTGCTCCTAAATTTGATAGATGGTCTTCCACTATTGTAGCAATAAAATTCTTTTGTAATTATTATTGCGAGTTAGGCAAATCCTTTAATAAAGGATTAAAGGGTAGTAAATTTGATTAACACCTCTTGCAAAAAGCTCTTCCAATCATTTTTTTCTTAATTAGTCTTTTATACATAATATTTTATTTAATTCTATGATCATAACATTCATAAGTCTCAACCATACATTCTTATTAATAGAGGTTTGGACAAGCCAAATCGTTCATTTAATTTTACTTCCAAAGTTCAAACCTCTTTCCCAAACAATCACATAGAAATAAAGTTTTTCATGGCCGGAATATGAAAGCCATAGATTGATAGACTCGTAGACATATAAAGTTTGAAGTGCGAATAACTTCTTTTAGGTTATGTTTTCTTTACTTTAACCGAGAAAATTTATTATTTAATTTAATATTATTAAAATCATACATGATCATACTATAACATAAGTAATCATACTCGAACAAATCATAATTTCTACTCAGTACCTAATAATAAAATTCCGCAATTAACTATAAAAATATGTTATCAAATTAAGATTTACACAATAAGACTTTTAAATCTCTACGTAATTTTTTTCCTCATGTACAAACAGTCAAAATTCTATCAAGCTATCCCTAAATGAAAGAAATTTTATTTTGTGCAAAAATTGATCCAATAAAAATATGGGGTTTTTCAAGCTTTGGCTAACATAGTAAGATCAAGCAACCACTTTTTACTTTTTTTTTTCTTAATGTTATAATGTATGCAAAATCTAGCAAAGTACAAGTGCACCACGTTTATAAATAACAATATCTTTGAAGATGAATTGATAAACTTTGCATACAAAATTAATCAGAAAGTAGTCCATAAAAAAGGATTATTGTACGGAGTAGATGAGTAGGTAAGGCAATATTTTAAGACGAATAATAGGTCAGCTAATAAGATAGAAATCATATAATTAGTGTTAAGTAATGAGTAAACATATGGTCCCATTCATAATCTCTGTGCTTAATGATGTGGATGGACCACCTTAATTAACAGTTTTAAATAGCTTTATTGCGTGTTTATTCATGCATTTGTATCTTCTGTATAACTGTTAGTCAATGCAACTTCTTACATGCCTTAATATATATTATGTCAATTTTCTTTCATTGAGAGAATATTTGTCTTACAATTGACGGCACATTGCCTTACGCCTTAAGTACACTCCTATGCATAGAGTGACTGTAATTTAATTTATGTACCCTAAGAGCTAAGTGACCCGCTAGCAAAGGGATGGTTCATTTTCGGATAAGACTTGTTTGGGTTGATTTTGAGTTTGGGGCTAGGTTCGAGTCATTTTGGAGATTATATTGTCAATTTATTTATTTTAATAAAATAATCATTATTAGAAATATTGATTATCGGGTCAATTTAATTCAAGTGGAGTTAGGCCAGGTTAATTTAAATCTGGTTTATTGCATTGCGGGTATTGTTTGTGTAAAAGTCAGTTTTGCCGATAATTCTTGGAGAGAGACTTTCATTTTTCAAGCGGCTTTGCTAAGCCAATAGTTCAACTCGAAATCAATTAATTATCGGATTTATAGCTTAATAACAAGATAAGGACACTTGATTGATTGAAACCTCTTAGCTATCTTAGTAAGGAAGGAAGAGTAAGCCTTGCTTAAACCCCTTTGCAAAAAGCCGCAATAATAGGGTCAACAATCACAGGATGAACCTTAAGATCAATTAAAGCCTACATGCCTCAGATTCTTTATGTCTCATTTCTTGTCAACCTTGATTTCCAAACTACCAATATATGTGAAGGCAAAAATGACTTTAAATTCTGGATACATGTTTTAATTAAATTTGAGGAGAAATCCAAAGCTCTCACCCGCCCCTTATGTTCCAGTTAGGGCTTGTTTTCTTCTGTGGAAATTCAGTTCACTTCAGTTCAAATCTTAATTTATGTTTAATGATATTGCTAATGATATAAAACCAAATTTCATTCTTTTAAACTCTTATTACAACGACGACGACGATAACAACAACAACAACAATAATAATAATAATCAATAAGTAAATAATAATAATAATAATAATAATAATAATAATTTGGGGTTAGATACTAGTTAGAATACATGTATTAATTAAAACATTAAAGAGAGTGGGTTAGGGTGTTGGACTGTTGGGCCGTTACCTCTGTTAGCTTTTCGTGTTCTTTTTTTTTTTTTTTTTTTTTTTTTTTTTAAAAAAAAAAATATTTTTTGTAAATTTGTTTAAATGGGTTAGATACATGTAAGTGTTTTGTATTCTTTTGTCATAATACTATTTTATTTTTTAATTAAAAAGTATATGTGTTTAAAATGTTTAGAGGTTTTAAGTTTTTAATATATTTTCCATAAATTTTATAATTATATAGTATATTTTTCGTAAATATTTTAATATGTACATTTGTATATACACATATGTATAGTAATAAATAATCAAAGATCACTAATCCGTAGTTAAAAATCACTAATTAATAAGTTCAGTTTAATTCAGTTCAGCTGAGTTCAGTCAATCAGAACAGACCCTTAACCTTGAAATTAGGGGGTGGAGTTCATTGATGGTGGTGGGCGATGGGTTCGAGCATCGACCCAACAGTCAATTGGAACTACGATGTATTTGTGATAGAATAGCATTACTTCGTACTCGTATTATTTTGGAATGTAAAGAGCCACAAAGAGTAATGTTGTATAAAAGATTCAATCCAATCACAAATATTTTTTTATTTTACCAACATATGCTAGTGTCTAATCTCAGTTATCACACCCTCTCTAGTTTTATATCCCTTTTATTTCACAACACTCTGCATACAACTTCGAGGCTATACATAATAGGTGGACAAGCCCAAACGCCCTCAGTTTTAACTTTTGTGCATTCTAGTTAGCATGTACATGACTTAGTCCTGGCTTAGAAATTAGAAGGCAGTTGCAGGCTTGTAGCACTAGCTGCATAAAGGGACAATGTCGTAATAATATCTGCACCTTAAGTGCTCCGTCTGCTGGATGCTGCTAAATCCCCAATGCTTGTACCAGCAATGTAACCCCCCGTCCACGCATTCTGCAAAAGTTGTTATTCAATCTATAAGCATATGAGCCTGCATCCAAGTATGATGGAGGTATACAGGGAGCCTAAACAGAACAGCGGAGTACTTGCTAGAACTATGGTAATTTCCCAATTGCATGAGCATCAATCAAACAGCCTTGCAAGGAGTTGCAACAGTAACAAAAAAGAAATCAAAGCGTACATTATCGAAGATAAGTTCGAAGTAGACTGTTGTATTTCCAAGATGCAAAACAATTAGGCAAAAAGTTAAAGACAAAGAACAAAGATTCAATTAACACCTATGATTGTATTCTCTCTTCAATTATATTTATATTGACTTATCAGAACTTGAATGAACTAATCTGAACTAATATAAAAGTATTTGAACCTTTATTTATTTATTTATTATTATTATTTTTTTTTTTCTGAACTTGTGTGTTTGAACTTAGACCTTAAAGTCTATAACATTATGAGAGAGAAGATGCATGTGTCATTCCCTCCTTTGTTACCATAAGCTTGTTAGAATTTAGATTATCTCATTAAGTGACAAATGAAAAGGAAAACAGTATCAAATAAATTGAACCAACATATAGGGAATTGTATAGGCATACATAACAAAGCTTAGAATAGGAAATTAGGAACAATGCATATTGCTAGAAACAAGAATTAATCACATGCTTATCAACTAACCGGCCCTATAAAGCAAAATGACAACTTTTATAAATATCAGAGACCAAGTTCCGGATAGTGACTTTTGGCAAAATGATATTGACTTGCAGGTTTTATACTTGGAATTGTTTGCTTAGTCTTTATTAGGTTGATTAAGGGAGAATTATACTAAGAAAATTTCCACCAGAAACGAAAGAGAAAGCAAAAAAGAATTAAGATGGATACCTGAAAATTAAATCCACCAGTTATCCCATCAACGTTCAATATCTGCAAAACATAAGAAATTTAGATCTCTTTAAAAATACATCTGCCCCAGCCTTCAATGACCTCAAACCTCAACACACATTTCCACTTCTCTCAAAAAGATATTGACCAAAACAATGGGTTACTAAATTTATTGTGGTGTAGTGCCAAGAGTCTTCACAATTACAGGGTGAACACCTGCAAGATCTTCTCATGTTCCGAACAACATTCAAGAACAAAGAAGGGAAGCACTTTTCTAGTATGAATGCAGCAATATCAAACAACATAGGCCAGATTTACTTCAAGAAGCTACTAGGGAAATAGAGCCAACTACTGAAACTGCAAAATGCAAACATAGAATGCCTTTTAAAGTTCATGCCATAAGGCCCATATACATAACTTCGGCTGTTATTATGGTATGCCTGAGAAAATACATTACAAAGCATGATTAGTGATTACCTCTCCTGCAAAAAATAAGTTGGAAAACATTTTGCTCTCCATCGTCTTCAATGAAATCTTCAAAGGGGGATAGTGCAGGTTAAATTCAATATTAGAGATAGAAAGAAAATGACAGGGACGGAAATTAAGGGAGAAGTGAGAGTACCTCACTCAAGGGGATACCTCCAGCAGTGACAAATTCATCTTTAAATTGGCCCTTAAGCAAAAACCACGTCACAAATTTTGACACCCCATAAATATACAAAAACAGAACTAATAATATTTAAAGAGCGCGAAGCAGGAGGGGGTGCTCGTACCTTTCCTGTCACTTCAAATGGACACTGTTTTAGTAGGGAGGTAATAGAAAGCAATGCATCACTAGAAATGGAAGCCCATAAGATATCTTCAACAAAACCCTAGATAGAATGAAGTAGTTTAAAAAACAAAAGTTAAAAAATACTTCGTATGTAATAGTGGTAGAACAAAAGAACTACTGTCTACCTCACGTTTGAGCAAATATCTCCAAAATCTCTTGACAAGATTAAACTCTGAAGGGCTTGAATTGACCACTTTTTGCTTCTGAATATATCAACATTTCAACAGAACAATGACGTCATGCTCATAGAAATAGCAAAGTGTATATAACAAAGTGGTCAAATCACTCAATATTATGAGCGATCACTAGTAAACAATAATTAAGAATATTAAATTGCCTGTATGCCAAATAAACACCACATTTGTAAACAGCATCATGAAAGAGCTTTCTACAGCATTAGAGGAAATAGATTCATGACTACAGTCATGTTTTCTTTTACCTTAATAGCACCAAGTAGTATTTTTTAGTCAAATTGAATATTTTATTTCATTTCTAGGGCAAGTATATCATGTTCTGATGCTCCCTTCCTCCCTATCTTATTTTTGGGGTAGAAAGGGTACCTACTACAGATCAGGAATCAAAATTTACAACAGCAGGAGATCCCTATCCTAATGAAGCTCTAAGAAGGAAAGTTAATTACTGCAAAATTCTTCTTCTGCTTTAAGAGGATTGACTTCACTCCTTCTTTAAGAATATCCGGTGCAAAGTCCAAGATAAGTGTCCCTAAATACATAAGATTATGTCAGACACAGATAATTTAGTCAGAGTGTGCAAACAGACTGTTCAAAGATATTATTACCTTTGTAATTTGAGCCGTATAGATCACGAGCTGACCAGGCAGACAACCGAAGAATTGCAGGACCACTGAGCCCCCAGTGAGTAACAAGCATTGGTCCAACCTACAATCAACATGATGAGTTAATTTATATGTATTAAGAATATTGAAGGACATCACCATAATATAGTCATGCATGCCTGTGTAAGCTGTGGTATGTTTCGTCGGCTGTTATCCAGTTTCAATCTTGCTTTTACCTTGGAAAAAGCTACCTAAACATCCACAAGACAGACAGATAGACAGACACAAGAGTGTTATTTAATTTGTAGAATATTAATGTAGGGAAGGTTTCGAACAAACATAATACAAAAACTGAGTGATGGTGACATATAAGTATATAACAGCATCACTGAAACAGGTTAAGTTATATGAGTAGCTGAAAATGGTTGTAAATCAAAAAGGAGGATGGTGGAGATGTCATACACCCGATAGTTCAGCCAAATTAGAGTCTTTGATCTTGAAGGTGAAGAGACTAGGGACAGGATCTATAATCGTATGGCCAAGCTGACCTGCAAGACCATAACCCTGTGAAAAATTGTAGTAACATTGCATACTTTATAATATCAGGTTCATGAATAAAACAATCTTAAAGCTCAAACAACCTGCTTGCTACTTCCAGTGGCAATTAACAGATAATCAGTTTCAACAAGATCAGCGGTTGAAGAACTGCGCATCACGATCCCGAGATCAAACTTCCCAGTAGCTTTGCTAGTCGCAGAAGTCACAGTTTTTCCTGTCTGCACCGACACTGCAAAGAGTGAAGCATTAAAACAATTTGCAGTACAGCAAAAGCATTTAGTGCTATGGAAAAACTCAAAGGGTGCACTTAGACTATGTAAACAACATGAAGAATAGATGAAGGAAAGGACTGTTGTTTTGTGAATCAGAGTATTCGGAAAGGAGATGATACTTGCAATATTTTATCCAGGTTTTTCGGACACTCAGCCTTAAGGAAAGGCAAAGAAGAACTAACCACTGAGGCACACACCTTAAGGTATCAAAAATGAACCTTCCCATTACACTTTTAGCTGAGAATCAAATAACAATCAAATGCTAAATTACTGATAAAGTGATCGTCATTGTAGCCCAAATTGCCATCTCAAAATTCTAAAGCATTTCAAGTCTTCTGTATCAGCAAACGAATCATTAGTGACTTCCCGAATCTTAGTAATTCTACTACAATGCCACAAGAGTAATTTGCAAGGAATCAGTATGTGAGGGAGGGGCACATTAGTCATAGCCTATTAGTAGTGTCTTGAGGAATAAGTTAGAGTTAGTTGTGAGACTTTTTCTATAAATAGACCTCATTAGGAGGAATAATTATCATGTTGAATATTGTTGAAGGCATTGTATTGTTGAACAATCAGTTTGATAATACAACTTATCCCTCTTAGCTATCCTTTTCTATCTAATTAGCTTGCTTGCTTACTGTTTGAGAGCTAATTCCTAGCATAATTTCATAGTTATTTAGTCATTTGACATCATTTAAGTTCTTTCTAGAGAATTGATCAATCAGAGTAAGCTTTACATTTCACGTGAGAAAATAGTACTCCCTCCGTCTATCTTAAAGCTTCATTTCTCACAAAATTCTTGTCCCAACAAAACAAAATAAAAACACATTTTCATTTTTGTAGGGTCCATAACCACTACTTTTTCTATACACTTTTAATCAACCGAACACCTCTAACCCCTTACATTTTCTCAAGAAGGAAAGGCGATTCCATCCCACAATAAACTGTTCTCCCTATCTTCATATTCAACTTTAATCAAGTATACCTTGCCACAACACCTCTCCTAGAAGTCTAAAACTATGCTCCTAGGAAAAAAAGGGCTTTTATTTAGGGACAATGGAGTAAAAAATGTGAGGTATCAGCATACAGTATTCTATAAATTCCCAATATACATGTAATTATGAGCAGGAGACAGGGGTAAAAATGCACTCTTTCTCCAACCATGCTATGAGAATCTGAGACAAGTCAGACAGATGTATAGAAATACAAACCACTGCTTTCTTAAATTTTTTTATACATTGTGCACCTACTCTTTAAACATATATCACTGCACCGTTTCAAAGTTCTTTACATAAAACTTTTAAGAAATCGATAAACAACAATATAATGGCATAAGGTAAATTGATAAATACCTCCAATTTTTCTTGCTTCAGTCATTAAGCAATCAATAATTGAAGTTGAGCTATTACTGACCGGAAATACCCGACCATCACTTTCCGTCTGATGGTAATACAAATGTAAAAGATTTTAGCTCCGTACATATGCATAGAAAGACCACAGAATAACAATACATTACTTTTGTGATAGAAGACAAAAAATATGAAGAAAGAATAATGAAGGATTTAGAACATATAGATGACCTTGAGTTTGACCCCATGACTTGTAAACCAGGACATAGTATCAAGTGGACTATGCATGCTAAAGAAAGATCCCTTTAACTCTTTGTTTCCTCTAGGGTATTGTTCCGCCATAATCTGCAATAACAATTAATGATTCACAATGATGAATTGAAGCCAATAAAAATAATTTTAAGAAGTATATTAGCAAGAAGATTGAATGAACCATTATTTTTCATAAACTACACATAATTATAATTATTGTTGATTTCTTGGTTGTTATAGTAGTAGTAGTAGTAATTCCAATGGTAATGCAAATGAATAAAATTCAAATAAATTTTCATAATTTTAGTACAAATTACATCTATCCTTTTGAAAGTGTGCAACTACGAAAGCATGGTGAGACACAACAAACTTTAAAAATATCATTATTTGATTGGGTGAAATCGTGGATGTTACCACAAGTAGGCTACCGTAATGCCAAAGCTCTTATGCTGCACTTACCACATTGTCAGGGCAATGTCCATTGGTCACGTTGCATCTACCTCCTCCAGATATTTTTACCTGCATTATGCGTAGATTACATAAGCCCAGAAAGAGATTGGATGTCACCAATTCACCACAGAAGAAATAAACCAAAAAAAAAAAAAAAAATAATGATTGACAACTCCTCAGATAAAGGTAGCATTATATTCTCAATGAATTAATTTGAAATATCAATATTCAGAAAAGTAGTGATGAACACCAGCTATTAGCTTTTGGGGTAGTGTTTCACAAAAGCTACAAGAAGACACATAATCCCCGATTATAGCACCCTATAATTGGACAATGCAAGTGATCTAAATGGTCTGAGCCTGAAAAATAGACCGGAAGGGCGGAAGATTGCCTAAAACCCATCCATGATCAGAAAGAAAATAAGCTTACAACTTTAGCTAGCCCAAATACAATTAGGTCCACAAGCCGTCAATTAACACACAGCCAGAAATATTAAGCAAAAGGAAAATTAAATTAAAAAAACAAGCAGCAGCCAGGCAACTAGCTCCAGTGCAAGCTCAAAGCGCTGGCAGGATCTACAGACTGCCTCCTCAAGGCAGTCAATGTAATGAAGCCTTTGTAGTGCTGTTTTAAGCTTATTTCAATGGCCAGATCATTTTCTCATTTAAACTTATTTACAGGGGTCAATCTACGGTCATGTGGCATGATTTCCAAAATGAAAAAGCTTTATGCTCTCATAGTAAACAAATCACTTCATAAATCAAATACTGTACTCAAGACAATTTCAAGTTCCATTCAAAAGTTTGAGTTTTCACCCAAGGACTATAGGCAGGAAAGGTATAATTTATAAGGGCTATCTATATATTCAATATTTAAATCCATGAGTAAATCCTTCTTTCATTTCTAATTGTTATTGAGCATCCTAACTTTCATGATGTAGGGTGTTATTAATTTCATCCTTGTATTACTATGAAAATTTATTGTATATTGGCTTGTAAGGTTATTGCTTGAAGTTCCTGCAATTTGGATTACTTAACTCGAAGCATCACCATATATTAGTCATATGTGAGTTTGTATGGTATTTCATAGCCAATTTCACTTGTCTAATGATAATCGAGTAGAGGCCAATATGGAATTACGGCTCTTGGTCAAATCTATGCCTTAATTCTCGAATCCAAATTGGTTCAAGATCATATTGAGTTATATTTCTCTTAGATCAAAATGCTTTTTGGATTAAGGCCCTGTTCTCTTCACCTTAAAAAAATAATATTAAGTAAAAATAATTTCAGTTCAGTAAAAATAAGTTCAGTTCAGTAAAATTAATTTCAGTTCAATAAAAATAATTTCAGTTCAGTAAAAATAAGTTCAGTTCAGTAAAATTCAGTTTTCTTAAAGAAGAATTACAATAGAAAATCAGTAAAAATAATTTCAGTTCAGTAAAAATAATTTAAGTTCAGTAAAAATAATTTCAGTTCAGTAAAATTAAGTTCAGTTCAGTAAAAATAAGTTCAGTTCAGTAAAAATAATTTCAATTCAGCAAAATTAAGGTGAATCAAACAGGGCCTAAGTTCCACTTATTAGTCCCTTTAGTTGTCCCATTCACAGAATCCAACAATAGTTTAGAGGTCCTTTTAAGTACCTGTTAGCACCTCTACTTTTTCCCTATCGCATCCCTATTCAAGCAAGCTAATTTACAATTTCTAACATCGCCATTTCTATGCAAGGTTACAATGGTAGGCTAGTTATTTTATCACTACACAACCTAAACTACTATTTAAGCTAATGTTTCGCAAAATCTACCATAAGCTAATGTTTCGCAAAATCTACCATAATTAGTTTCCAGGATATAAAATGGATTAAAATCCTACTTTGACAACTAAGCTCTAAGGCTCTAACAGCTGACACTTTATCAACTAACAAGCATGAAAATAGCTAAGTGCTACAGAAACTACAACTAGTTATGCCAAATTACCCTTTAGACCACCAAAACTACTCAAGCAAATCAAGGAGACACTACCGGGTTTCTCAGCACGATTTCCTTAAAAATTGCTAAAATCAAAACTAATTCCCACTTTGCGCCGTTTTGAAAAATAATTCCCGTAGTAATGTCCACGTAAGATCGGATATGATTTATTTTTTTAAAAAATTTTGGTTCAATGAAGAACCACCAATGCCAATAGCAGTTCTTAACATTGAACCGCAATCATCGTTAGTGGTTTTTAGGTAAGAACCACAATTACAGTTTGTGGTTCTACTCCGTATTACGAACTAAATAAGCATTACTGACACATTTGACTTTGGCATATTGGCATATTAAAACCGCAAATGCCATTTGCGGTTGTTTTACATGTTGCTTGCCCACATAAATTAAAAACAATAATGCTTCGTTTTGAAGGTTAAGCTGCAGATGACAATTGCAGTTTTATTATATATAAACCGCTATTGTCATTAGCAGTTTTACTGATTAAAAAGTATATTTAAAATTATTACCAAGCCTGCGTGGACAGTATTTTGGGAAAAAGTTCTTAAACCAACGCAAAGAGGGAATTATTTTTTATTTAAGCAATTTATACAGAAATTGTTCGAACCCTCAAGAGCATGTACTCTCTCCATTCCTACTTGTTCTTCCTACAAAAAAAAAATTGTCTCAATTACAAAGCCCTTCTTTAACTATTTATTCTCATCTATACAAACTAATCCAACAACATATTACAAAGTAATATGTAATTGTCATATCTTTGTAAGAAAATGTGATCAAAGTTTATGCATGAATTACTCTAAAGTCAAATTGTTACAAATATTATATACTAAGACATTATAATGCAAAATGAATAAATACCCTTAAAAATTCCAAACTAATTACTGTAAATCAAATCTTTTTGCAAACATATATAGCATTCATACAAAACCCAGAAAGTTTATCAGCAAAAAAGGAAAGAGAGTTAAAAGTGGTGGTACCTTAGATAATGGTTGTCCTTTCTCAATGACAATAACATTGAGTTTGGGTGCGACAGTCTTTGCCCAAATTGCGCCATAAATTCCGGCAGCTCCGCCACCCACCACCACCAACAATTCTTGATTACACTGCCCAAATTTGAAAAACATACACATAATAAAACAGGGATAAAATTGAAATTTGCGAAGGAGAGAAAAAGAGAGAGAAAGGTGATACCTTTGGATTGGGAAATTGGGCAAAGATTATTGGAAAATTTAATTTTCTGGAATTTTTGTTTGAATTATTTGTAAAGGGTACTGGAAAATTGCAGTTTCTATGAAGGAAGCTGGATTCAAGAGCTAAGGTTAAGGTCATGGGTATCTAGCTAGTTATGGATATGGAGTACTAGTTTACTGTAATTTCCCAATTATTCCGTAAGCATACAAGAGTATACTATATACAAGAGTACAAGACAACAAGATAAAATGGTGGAGAGGTGGGACTGGGGGAGATACAGAGAGAATTCATTTTTTTTTTTTTTTTTTTGGGTGTTCTACCCAATTCATCCTTTAGACTAATTCGGATTCGAAAATTAATTTTAAATAATTAAATTTCAATCCTCTTTTGATTGTTGTTGCGGGGATCGAATATGGATTCTCTCTAGAGTCCCTATTAAGTATAGTCCCAGTCTCAATCAATACTATACCAACAACCAATTGGTAGAATTCAGGTTTATTATAGAGCGATTTCGGTATTTTTTTTTCTTTTTCTTCCGATTTGGCCTAGAGCTAGAGCTGTGAATTTAATTGGCCCATATTTGGGTTGGATTTAGACACTACTTCAGTATGTAGTCTAGGCATAGGTCAATTTAACCTCCAAGTCGGATTTAGCCTTTAGGTATGAGTTGGGTCAAATTCAGGGCAATTCTGTTAGGTCATTTATATTTTACGGAGTATACGGAGTAATGAACTTATTATAACATCATTCAATTTTGTACTTATATAGTCATATGAGATAATTTTTGTTTAAACTTACTCTATCTAAATTTATTTTATTTAAACTTATTTGAATTGTTTTATTCCTTCTAATTCTGATTATTTAATTTGAGAATTGGCAAATATTCTATATAATTTAGGTGAATTAGAGAGAGAGTGGGAGAAAAAAGTAAGTAATAGTTGGAGGGAAATTGTGTGGGGAAAAAAAGGATATACGAAGTATATTTTATTTAGTTAAAGGTCATGGTTGGGTCAATGCAGAAAAATTTTGGTCAACGATTGAAATCCAACTCACGTGCCAATGTTCCATAATACAACAAAAAATGTTCTATGAAATACTTCGTATAAGATAGTTTATTTTTTAGGAAAATTGTAAACTAATAATCCCACCTTTAGGTGGTCTTCCACAAACAATCCCACCTTTCTAAAATCCAGAAACAATCCCACCTATTCCCCCTATCTTCCATTAACGATCCTTTTTACAGGTTACCCCTTAAACCGGTGAACCTATTCTATTTCCCTCCCTAAAGTCTTTCTTCTCCAACGGTTTTCCCCCAAAAAAAACATAAGTTTCGCCATTTTTATGAAACAAAGTAACAATTAAAAAAAAAAAAAATTAACTTTCAGAAACTTATCTTCATCGAAAGGACTGCAATTGTTCATTGATTGAAGGAAATTAAGGTCCTTAGCACAGCAATTCAAGGTGGGCTAATTAGAGGTAAATTTTCGACAAACCCTAGCTTTCTTAAATTTGCAAATAAAAGCAATTAAACGAAGATAGCTTCGATTAACATAGTGAAGAGTAATTTAAGTAGTTATTGAGACTGTTTGCGTATTGTAATGGGTCTTGCATGTTTGAAAATATATCATGGTGGGAAGTTTAAATTTGACAGTAATGGTTACTGGGTTTATTTGGGAGGGAAGTTCAGAACTTTTGATGTTGATGTTGATGAGTTGTGTTGGTTTTATATGAAGGAATTAGTTGCTAAATGTGGTAATTATTCTGGAAATTTCAAACTTTATTACTTAAATCCTGCACTTGACTTAAGGGGTGGGTTAAAGTCTGCATTTACTGATGATGAATTCAGAGAATTAGGTAGGGTAATGGTGGAGAACAGAACAGTAGACTTGTATGTAGTTGTTGATGATGTTCAGCCTGAATTTGTTAAACAATCCCAGACTGGATCCAATACCACAACCCAGCCCACTTCAGCCATTGTTGCCACAGAACATGAGCCCAATAGGCCCAAAAAATTGATATCTAAGAGAGCTGGCATTTTGAGTCAGGCATCTAGTGCAGTTTCAGAGAAGCTGCATGTGTTGGAAAAGTCTAAAGGAAAAGCAGTAGAAGTGGTCCCCACTCTAACAACAAACAAACAACTTCAACCATTTCCTAGATCTATAACCTCCATTTTATTACCAGAAAACCCTAGTCAAACAACAGCAACCCCAACTCAAACAGAAAACACATTAGAGCCTCATTCTGAATTCATTAGATGTGAAGTTCCAGGGGACTATGATTGGGAGGAAGACAGACCTATTAGCCCCATTGCCATAGATGAGTTACTGTATGGTTTAGGAATTGATGAAGATGATGATGATAAAGATTATGTGTTAGAAGATGATTTGGAGGGTGAGTCTGATGCAGATGAGTATGAGGATGAGGTTAATCTCAGAAATGAGTATGAGGAAGAGGATTGGCTAGGTGATTATGAGATTTATCAAGCTAACTTTGATTTAGATGGGGAACATGATGATGTTAGTGACATTGAAGAGTTGAAGGAGCCAGAGGATTTTGATGCTGATAGTAGTGATGATGAGCAAAGGGAGGCAAGGGAAAGAGTGAAAGGTTTCAATTGTAGTGTAGTAGAATTGGCACAATCACTACAAGTTCAAGCTGCTAAGGGTAATTTAGCTGCACAACAGGAGGGGAACAAAGGGGGTGAGAGTAGTATACAGGTTGGGGAGACTAGTAAACAAGCTGGAGATGGTGGAAAACAGGCTGGTTACAACTCTGAATATGAAGAATCTGATGAAGAAATTCACACACCTAGGGGAAGTGATGAAGAGGAGACAATTGGGGAAAGAAAGAGCAGGAGAGGTCTGCTTGTAGGGCTTGAGACTGACTTTACTCAGTTTCAGTGGAAAGTTGGGCATAGATTTGCAACTAGGGAGGACTTCAAGCAAGTTGTTGCTAAGTTTGCAATTTTTCAAGGTAGAAATCTAACTATTGTGACAGCAAATAAAAGTAGGCAACAAAGAATTGGTGTGAAGTGCAGTGAAGGGTGTCCTTTTAGGTTGTATGCCTCTTGGGACTCCTGGAGAGGTTCCTTTGTAGTTAAAACAGTAGTGTCAAACCATAGTTGCATCAGAGTTATGGAGAAAAACAAGCAACTGAAAGGGTCATGGTTGGCAGAACAACTACTTGATGTGTTTAAGGCTAGGCCTCATTGGCCAGCTAAAGAGATCATTGAAACAGTCAGGAGAGCTTACAGGGTTATCATTAGGAAAGAGTTTGCTTACAAGGTAAAGTGGCATGCTCACAAAAAGCTTCATGGCTCCATGAGAGAGCATTATGGGAAGGTTGGCAGGTATCTTGAAGCCTTGAAAAGGTCCAGTCCAAACACACAGTTGGACTTAGTCACATACATGGACAAGAATAAGCCACCACAGATTTTTCAGAGGTTGTATGTCTGTTTTGAGGGATTGCAAAAAGGTTGGATGGAGGGTTGCAGAAAAATTATATGTGTTGATGCTTGCTTTTTGAAGACATTCCTAGGGGGATAGTTGATGTCTGCTGTAGGCAGAGATGGGAATGATCAGATGTACCCAATTGCTTGGGCAGTGGTGGAGGGTGAAAATAATACTTCCTGGGAGTGGTTTCTGAATAACCTCAGCAAAAGCCTTCAGCTTGGTGATGGTTCTGGAACTGTGATTGTGTCAGATGAGCATCAGGTATAAACTTCAACTGTTTTTGGTTTTATTTATTTTTTTTTCCTGAATTCATTAATACATATATTTGGTTATGTTGGTTTTTTTTTGTTGAATTCATTAATACATATTGCTTTACTAGGCCATTCTAAGAGGGGTTAGTGTGACACTCCCTCAAGCTGAGCACAGACATTGTGCAAGACATATTTTTTCAAATTGGCACAAGAATTTCAGAGGTGATGAAATGAAATTGATGTTTTGGAGCTGTGCAAAGTCATATAGTGAAGCTGACTATAGAGATGCACTTAATAAGTTGGAGACAACTAATGCTGCAGCTGCTGCAGGCTTCAAAAGTTACAACCCAAATGTCTTCTACAGGGCATTTTTGAAAACTGATGTGAAGGCAGATGCCATCACATCTAACATGGCTGAGACATTTAATGGGTATATCATTAATGCTAGGGCAAAACATTTGCTTTATATGTTGGAGGATATAAGGGCAGCTTTAATGAGGAGGTTGGTGATTAAGAGGCAGGAAATGGAAAAATGGAAGAGTGTTTTATGTCCAAGGATTCAGAAGAAGCTAGAATCAGAGAAAGAGGAAGCTGCTAATTGTGAGGTCATTCCTTCTTCACAGAGTGTGTTTCAAGTGAGCCATATCTTGGACACTATGTCTGTGGACCTAGAAAAAAGAACTTGCACATGCAGAAAATGGGACATGTGTGGGATCCCATGTTGCCATGCAGTGGCTGCAATTTTTTTCTGTCATAAGAAGGCAGAAGATTATGTTGATGAGTGTTATAAGAAGGAGATGTACTTGAAAGCATATGAGAATTCAATCCCTCCAATTGAAGGTGAAAGGCATTGTCCTCAATCAGAGTTGAGTATGGATCCACCCCCCATCAAAGTAGGACCAGGAAGAATAGAAGAAAGGATCCATTTGAGGACCCTAAAAAGCCAGGAAAGTTGACCAAACATGGCATGGAAATGACATGCTCTGTGTGTCAACAAAAGGGCCATAATAAGAGAAGGTGCCCCAACAGAGGAACTACTCTGCCACAAGCCCCACAAACCCCAGATGAGCCTCCAGCAAAGAGAGCAAGGGGTAGGCCAAGGAAAGAGGCTGCAGCTTCCCAACCTATGCACCCATGCTCTTCTACTCATCTAACAGCAACAGCTGAACCTTCAAGAATAGGAAGGGGAGGTAGAGTGATCAGCAGGGGAGGCAACTCAGCTGGAAGGGGAACTGGCAGAGCTAGGGGAAGGGATGCTCCAACTAGTAAGGGTGGGAGAACTGGTAGGGGAGGGGAAGCTTCAGGCAGTATGGGAAGAGGTATTACCACAACAACAGGAGGTAACAGAGGTGGTAGAGGAACAAGGGGTGGTAGAGGATCAAGGGGTGGAAGAGGTAGAGGAAGAAATCAGGTCTCCCAAGGTTTTTGTGTTTATTTGACATCAGATGGCTCTACATTCACTAATGTATGACAGTAACTTATTGACTATTTTATTACAAAGCCTATTTATGTGGAAACAAAACTAACTCCTTTTTTTTTTTTTTTAAATGCAGCCACCAGGAAGTGCAGGACCTCAAGATGTTTCAGCATACACCACTACTTTCTCCTACAACTTCAGTCAGGGTTCCTCAAATTATAACAACATGTAATAAGGATGTATTAGTTAGTTAAGATCAATGACATTCCTAAGTTTATGCAATTCAAACCTATGTTTATGTATCTTCATTTGAACAGAGTTTGTCTTGTATTTTGAAGAATTTCATGTTATGCTATATATGCTCTCTGTTTGTGCAATTTTTTCATAGTATATATGATGTATTAAAGTGTTTAAAACAGTGGCTGCAACAACAATTAAATTGCAAGAATTTCAGCAACAACAATTTAACCAAGCAACATAAGTCATATATTCATTGAAATTGCCATGGTTACAAAAGTCAGTAAAGGTCAGCACCTACACTACAGTCAAGCCCTACTTCCTTCTTTAAGTCAAGCCTAGCATACTGAATACCATCCTAGCATGCCAATTAAGCAAAAAAAACCAAACACTTTCACATCTGAAAACTACCCAAAATACAGATGTCCCAACCAACCCACAACCCACTTATACTACACCTTCACAGCAACCCCAAAAAACTACCTTCACCCCATCATCAACACACCCTATTTCATCAACAGCACAAGGGTGAAAAATGCCCAAGAGAAGACCAGAGTAAGCATTAGCCTTTTGTCAGTGTTGTTTTCCTTGAGTTCAAACATTGTTTCAGTCGTTGCAATGCCCATTTCCTCCACCTCTTCAACCAGCTTCTCTTTCTTTGCCTTGAGCCTCTTCACTTTATCCTTCATCATGTCCATTTCATACTCAAGCTCACAAATTCTGGTCTCCTTCTCCATAACCAAATGCTGCAGATCACGAACATCATCCACCTCATCAGCCCACTTGAAAAAGCCACAAGTCCTCTGCTCCTACAAATCACCCAAATTAGGCTATTACAGCAATAACAAAGCAAATTAAAAAAAAAAAACAACAATTTGGTGCGCAAATACTTACAGGCCAGTATGAGCACCCAAAAAACCGCTTCCCCTTTGTTGGACCATCGTAGCGCATTGTCCTCAGTGGTGCAATATCATTGTGGTAGCAAACCACCTGAGAAGACGAGGTTTGCTTCGACCTCGACCTTGAAGAGAAGCCAATTGAATTATGACTTGCCATTGATAGCGAAATGGAAAAAAAAAAAGAAAGCTTTGAGTACAAGAGAAGAGATGAGATGAAGAAAGATGAAAAAATTAATTGATGGGGGGGGGGCAATTTATAAAATTCTCAGAGAAGAACAGGGGAGAAGGCATTAATGGTGTATAAGCTTTTTAACGGTTGGAAATTAAATTAGAAGAAACCGGTTGTTCTAAGCAATCTAATTTTTTAACCGGTTTCAACAGGTGAAGGATCGTTAATGGAAGATAGGGAGAATAGGTGGGATTGTTTCTGGATTTTAGAAAGGTGGGATTGTTTGTGGAAGACCACCTAAAGGTGGGATTATTAGTTTACAATTTTCCTATTTTTTATTTCACAAAAAAGGTTATTTATAGGTTTTTTTCATAATACTAATGATAATTTAGGGCATATGAACTTGTGTTATATATGGTGGTGAACACATCTTATCCTAATACTCTTATTTATAATCAATTTTTTTGTTTAAAAATAACACGATTAAGAGTTGTAGATAGTAAAATTGAAATACTTCATCTGTTTGTGTCACATCATAATGGAGAGAATAAGGATATTAAAGTGTAAGAAAATAAATCATCATCAGAAACAACCAGTTTGATGAAACCAAATATTTCTGCTTCTATTAATCATAATATAGTTTTACAATGCTATATTACAACTTAAAAATGGAACTTTCTAGCTTATAATACTTGCTACGTACAAATAAAATCGAATCAAAGAATATAATTAATTGAATGATATATAAGCTATTATATAGTTTTAAGCAGTAGTCTAAGAAGTTGTGGTACACTCCTTAGGAAGGCCTTGAGGAAACCTTTTCAAGTCAGTGCAGTAATTGTAAATCATGTAGTTCTTCTGCACCCATTTCATCCTAGCATGACTAGCGTTATCAAGCTCTTGTGTCAACCAAGCATTACCATTTGTCGCGGTGGTTGAACGCGTGCTGCAGCTTGATCTACCCCTTCCCATAACACAAGCATTGGCATTGAAGTTCCTGTATGATGCAGTGAATGGTGCTTTTGACCAATCTGCCTTCACCCTCCCGCCTTGCGTTGCCCAGTCATCTGCATTCCATAAACTCGAATATAATCTCATTGGCTGCCTCTTTGGGAATGGAACTCCAATTGACTCAGAGTTCTTGAACTCTCTGATGGCTGTTCCGTCGACTGAGAATCTGTACATGTGTAAACACCATCAGCTTTTTCTTCCCTCAGAAGGCTTATAATGATTATAAGGAGGTATGATTTTGTAAGAAAAAAAATTTATTTTCTTTGACAAAATTTCCATGTCTGACTAAATAGTATATGTGACTATTAATTTCTGTATATGTGTAAACATCATCAGCATTTTCTCCCTTTAAAAGTTTTATAATGATTATAATGTATGATTTTGTAAGACAAAAAAATTTATAAATAGTACATGTGACTATTAATTTCAGATGGAAGGGGCAGAAGGCGGACCAGTTAAGTAATTATATGAACAAACGTAAACTTACATGATTCTTCGGGGATTCCAGAGGATTGAATATGTGTGGAAATCAGCAGTAGGATCAAACCAAAGGTGAAATTGTTGTTCCCTTCCTCCTTTACCTTGGCTAAAGACATTGGTATGGAGAGTATAGGGTTGACCAGAGACATTTCCTAAGAACTCGAAGTCAATCTCATCATGAGTTGGTCCTTGTGATGATAACTGCATACCAAATAAACAACCAAATTTAGTCAGCTGATCATATAGAACTAAAAACTTGGTTTTTGAGGCAATTGATCTTACAATAATGATAATAGTATGAGACTTACGTAATAAGCAGTGACAGTACCAGCAGAGTTACCAGGGACGAGTTTAAGCTGCATATCAATCTTACCGAACAAATACTCGTTTTTCGACTGAAATCCAGAACCAGAGGTTTTATCAAGTGAAAGAGTAAGTTGTTGGCCATTCCTAACAATCTTACCCCGACCATTACCCCAGGTTATGTCGAAGTCTCGGTGGAAGTTCCCAGCCGCCGAGACTACGACAAATGAAGAAGCAATGATCAAGAGTGTACACAACAAAAGACTAGTAACATGTGTTTTGGTAGCAGCCATTATGTGTTTTAGTAAATGAAAAAAAAGTGGACTAAGAAATGATTAGTGAAAATTGATATGTTACGTTCGAATGGCTGATACGTATATATAGGTATAAAAAAAGGAGGACGACGAAGGCGAAACAGCTGATAGAAAGAAGGATTACAGAGGAAGGTCATGGTCTGAAGTTGTGGAGGATGAAGGTGAAACAGCTGCAAGTTTAGCTGGATGGATGTGTTAGTAGCATTAAAGCAGTGGGGCGTTATCTGCTTTTTTTGTTTTCGTAATATTCCTTCCACTTTTTTTTTTTTTTTTTTTAAGTATTTCATTTAACTTTTACACTATTTATGTACACCATTTTGACTAATATTGATACTTTGTAGATAAAATTAAACATAATTACGTAGTATGTGATACTAGTTAGAATCGTATCAATGTATAATTTTTAATTGTCACTTTTTTTTTTACTTATACTAATAATTAAAGATATTATTAGTCAAAGTTTTGTGTTGGTATTTATGTCGTCGGAAATAAAAGAGGTTTGAAGGGAGTATGGGAGGGTAGAATTTGTGGTTGTGGACCAAGACCTACACGTTTAAAATTTGTTGCACACGCCTGGATCATTAAGGGTTTAAAAAAGGGTGTTCAAAACTTGTGATTCATAACCATATTGGCCAACTTGCCAGAGTATACATAGCTGAGAAATGAGGTAACTAGATTGCTTTATTTTTATAAATTAGTCGGCAGGGATGCTGTAGGATTTTGGATTGTAGTGGATTTATTTGGATAAGGAATTAGTCTCGTGATACATTACAAGTTACACAAGCTATTTGTCTAAGCTAGCTAGCTAGTTTCTATGTTTCTATAAGATAAACGATTTTAAAAGCTCACATTGAGTTGGAAACTTAAGATATGTATGACTATACGAGTACACGTAACGATAAGTATATACTCTTTCCGTGTTTTAATAAGTACGACGGTTTGACTTTTTCCACTATTCATATAATATTTACTAACATATTAAAAACAAATATTACCGTATTGAATTCGTTATAATGTATGCTTTCATAATATCAATTTTCCTATAATTTAATTAACATGATTAGATAAATTAATGGTAAAAGTCGTATCTCGACATGCGTGTTTAGTCAAACTGTAACAATTATTAAAATATGAAGGGAGTATATAACACTTGCACATATTGCACTTTACTCTATCAATGAATTGGCAATAGAGGTGTTAATTTAGGTTTTTATTCGAGATTAGTTTGATTGTCATTTTAAATTTAAATCATGCTAACTTATTATGTTTATGCAAATTAAATTTTAAATTGAGTCACTTCAAATTAGATAAGTTGATTAATCAATTATAGACAACTTTAATATAAATCCCATCCAAATGAAATTGAATCAAGTGACAACTTTATTAATCTCTAAAACAGATATGTTTGCTACTATAAAAGTTTCTTATTGGTGTCAATTTGTGGGGATGAATTACTTTACTTTGAATCAGCTATTAACAGAGGAGAATGGGTTGGCCAACGTATAGAAGCTGCCAAACTTTAAAGTCTCAGCTTGTATAGTTATAATTTTTGATGAATTTGTTTTCTTGTATTTCGATTGAATTCAAAAGTTGTTTGATGAATGCGTATGGCAAAGTGGCGAGAAAATTGGAGGAGCGGAAAGATATACTTGTTTGGGGTCAGCATTCCTCAGCAATTTAGCCTAAAAGTTATCCAAGTAGATATTTACAAAAAACTTCAACATTATTAGGTACAACCGGTTGTATCATGAATGAGCTAAGTCGTGGTTATTATTATTGTTCTCTTAAAGACAATAGCAATAAGAGGTTTGTGGGATCA